CTCTCCCCCTCCCCTCCCTCCCTCCCTCCCTCCAGTGGGTGGGGGACCAACTTTTTTGCCGGTCGCTGTTCGCGCGGCCGCCGCCGGCCTCTCCCCGCGGCGGCCGCGCGCCGGCCTGCCCCTGGCGAGGGCCGCGGCAGACGAGAGACCCGCCGCGTCACCGGCGACAGCACTGAAAGGGGGCCTCGGCGGAGGATCGTCGGGGGCGGAAAAGAGGGGGGTGATGACTAGGGGGGGGTGGATATCATGGTGTGGGCCATGATATTTCCCCAGCTCTCATGGCGCCTCTTCTTGTTTCATTACGTCCCTGGCCCCCCCGCTGGGCCGCGCACATGCCGCCGGTCATGATTTGCACCCCCCCCTCTTGGACAACCCCCTCTTGGCCGCTCCCGAGAGGTCCTCTCGGGAGCTCCTCGATCCTCCGCCGAGGCCCTCGGGACCATGGCATCTCAGCCCCGCCGGCCCGCCCTCCTGGTGGGAGCGGGCGCCTCGGAACCCGCAGGACCACGCACGTATCCCCATCTAGGCGGGCAAGTCGGCCAGAGTCGGGCCGGGCGAAAGGGGGGGATTGGGAAAGGGGGGGTTACGAAATCTGCTGCATGCAGCTGGTTTCGGCCCCACCGAGGGGCCCATTCCTCGATACGTGGGCGCCTCCTGGCGCCGGAGGCGCCGGGAAGATCAGCTACGTGAGCTGATTCTCAAAACCCCTTTTTGCCATCCCCCCTTTTCGCCCGACCCGAGATCCTGACCCCCTCCACTCGAAGAAGAAACGACGAAATAGTCGAAAACTTCTGGCGCTCCGCGCGGGTTTCTCGGATCTGCGCTGGACCTCCCTGCCTGGCGCACGGAGCGCGCCAGGGGCGGCGCTGGAGGCGCCACCAGAGGGGGTGGCCCGGCGCGAATCCGAGAATTCCGCCCGGAGCGCCAAGAGTTTACGCTATTCGGGAGCCTGAAGACGGGGGTCCATGCAAACGGGGGTCAGCCACGGCACCGGATCCTGCAGGATCTTGCGAAGACCCCTTCTGGCTGACCCGGGGTAGCGAGCCGCTCGTGGCCGCGAGGCGGCCGCGCCTATTGGCCGACCCGGGTTTGCGAAGACCAGCGTTGCAGTTTTTTTCCTTGCATTGCAGTTTGTGGCTTCCTGCTGACCTGGGTCTGGATTGACCGCGGTCAGAAGATCCCCGAGAGGATCGAGGAAGCAGCATCACATCTCAGCTTACGATGTTACAGCCTACTTTTAAGTCGGGCGTGTCCCCCATACAGAGGAACTTTCTACGAGAAACAAGAAATACCCAAAACATACCTCAAGAAGGTCAACAACCATTCAAAAAATAGTCCTCCGACTATTTTGGGACTATTGTTGGACTATTTTTGGAGTGTGTTTTATTTTTCGTCGAAAATCCCCCTCTAGGTGGACAGGCCCGACTTAAACCTACTTTAGCTCTGATCGCCAGCAAGAATTTCGATCACAAAGAGAGTCCCGAAACTTGAAGGTTTTTACGTGTCGGGCCCTGGGAGGCGATGCTCGTTCGACACTGTTTCGACACTTTTCTGGGTGCTCGAACTCATTGTAGTGGCCTCCGGCCAGTGCCGCCGATCTGGGGCGTTCCTGATGCTATTGTTGTTGAAATGGACGATGACGACGGCAACGGTCGACGAGCGGGATAATTACGACGACGACCGACGAAGGAGTTAATGACGACGAACCGACGACGACGACGACGACGACGACTGACGGCGAACGGCTGCCGACGACCGACGACTGGTGACATTAAGTACAACATGAATTTCAGCATCGTCCAACCTATCCCCCCCCCCCCCGGGACCATGGTATCTCAGCCCCGCCAGCCCGCCCTCCTGGTGGGAACAGGCGCCTCGGAACCCGAAAGACCACGCACGTGTCCCCATCTAGGCGGGCAAGGGCCAAGGCTACGCCAGAAGGATAGGGAAACAAAAAGTGGCATAAATATAACAACTCGGAGGTTCGCGCGGATTTCTAGGATCGGCGCTGGGGCCCCCTGGCGGCGCCTCCGGCGCCGCCTCTGGCGCGCTCCGCGCGCCAGGGAGGGGAGTCCAGCGCCAATCCGAAAAATCCGCGCGGACCTCCGAGTTTTTCTGTTTATGCCACTTTTTTAGTTATTCCCCTACAACAAGCATGGCTTTGAGTCGGGCACGTCCCTGTACAGGAGGAAGTTTCAAGAGTAGGCAAACAATACTCTGGGGATGATTTGTCGATGATGGTTAACTTCTCTAGAATATGCTTCCTACGTTCCCAAGCCACCTTCTCCCGCCTCCTCGCTTCTGCTTTTTGTGCTCTCCTGCCGTCTGGTTCCTGATTCCTGCCTCGCCGTCTTGTCTGTTGGGTGGCCTTGCCTAGGGGTTGCGATCACTGGGGGGGGGCTGCGATCTGCGCAGCTGTCGGCACTGTCGTGGTCTCCTGGGAGGCCCAGCGGAGGCACGTCATACGCAGATCACCACCATAGCTCGCGGTGCCCTGGGTGGCTGCGATCTGCGAAATTGTCGGCACTTTCGTGGGCTCCTGGGCCGCCCAGCGGAGGTACGGCATACGCAGATCACCACTATAGCTCGCGGTGCCCTCCTGCGAAATTGTCGGCACCTTCGCGGGCTCCTGGGAGGCCCAGCGGAGGCACGTCATATGCAGATCACCACTACAGCTCGCGGTGCCTTGGTGGGCTCTGATCTGCAAAATTGTCGGCACTTTCGTGGGCTCCTGGGAGGCCCAGCGGAGGTACGTCATACGCAGATCACCAATATAGCTCGCGGTGCCCTGAGGGGCTGTGAGCTGCGAAATTGTCGGCACATGCGTGGGCTCCTGGGAGGCCCAGCGGAGGCACGTCATACGCAGATCACCACAATGGTTCGCGGTGCCCTGGGTGGCTGCCATCTGCAAAATTGTCGGCACTTTCGTGGGCTCCTGGGTCGCCCAGCGGAGGTACGTCACACGCAGATCACCACTATAGCTCGTGGTGCCCTGGGTGGCTGCGAAATTAGACGGCCCAATTTTCGGAGGCCTCATTGCGTTCGCTGCCGCGCTCTTTTGTAACCACTTTTGGCAGCTTGTTCTACCGCGCCCTCCTGCGTCCACTTCTGTGTGCTCCTGCTTATTCTCGCGACCGCGACCTTGGGTGCTTCTCTTTGGGTTCGCTGCCGCGCCCTTCTGTATCCACTGTTGGATGAGTCTCCACCCCCGTTATGCACTTCATGCATTTGCCCCGCTCAGCGCAGCGCGTTGTTGAGTTAAATTGATGTTCTGTTTCAGCCCTCGCCGCCGCGCTCTTTTGTGTTAACTGTTTGGGCGTGTTTCTTTCAACCCCCTCTGTGTGCCCGTCTTGGATGTTTGCCGCTGCTCTTCCTGCTGCGCTCTTCTGAAATCACTGCGGGGTACTCTTCATGCGCACTGCGAGTCCTTCAGAATGCCAGTCAGCATTGAGTGGTCCTGAGTACACCCGCCACATGTATAAAGAAGGGTTGGGTACGTCGCAGGGTAATACAAGTGGCGAGGGTACGTATTTCCCTACCTAGGCTCTGCCTAGAAGGGTTCTTACTCTCTAGCTTAAAGGGGCCGGGCAGTGGAAAGCGCCCCGGGCGGTTCCCCCAGTCCCCGCCCCGCGGTTCCCCCCAGTCCCCTGGGAGTTTTAGCTTTAGCTTTAGCTTTAGCTTAGCTTTAGCTTAGATTTAGTTTAGCTTTAGCTTAGCTTTAGTTTAGCTGTATTTTAGCTTTAGCTTAGCGTTTTGTTTAGCTGTTCGCTTAGCGTTTAGCTTAGCTTGAGCTTAGCTTGAGCTTAGCTGTAGCTTAGCTTTAGCTTAGCTTTAGCTTAGCTTTAGCTTAGCGTTAGTTTAGCTTTAGCTTAGCTTTAGCTTAGCTTTAGCTTAGCTTTAGCTTAACTGTAGCTTAGCGTTAGCTTAGCTGTTGCTCAGCGTTAGC